AAAAGTATGCCAAATTGCAGGGTCTTTACTGCTGGCAGCCACGGAGGACTCGCATCTCTCCAACCTGTGGCCCCGAAAGGAGGGTGTCAAGACCCTTTATACCTGTAAAAATCACCTTGGGAGTGAGGGTGAGGGGCGGGGGTGAGGGGATTCAGACATTCCAAGGGCTAGTGGATATGTAAATCACCTTCTGGGCGGAGATGAGGGTGAGAGGGTTCCAGACATTCCAGTGGATTCCTGGCGAAGATAGGGGGAGGGGCTCCGGACACTCCGAGGGCCAGGGGACTTTTTGACATTCTGGTTGTTACTTAAGTGGTTCACAAAAGTCAAGATTAGCATTTGTTTTCACATTGTCTGGGTAAGGTGGCGATTATAGTCCTTAATTACTTATTCACATTTGGGTTATAGACAGCAGTTTCAACAGAAAGCTGAGGTATGGTTGAGGTATGCAGTTTTATGGGGCTTTTCACCATGTCACAAATAGTCCTAGCAAACCAACATGACTTCATCTATTTCTGGAGAATAATGAAGTCCTATGCATTCAAGTGATTTTCTTTTTTTTTTTTTTTTAAGATGTTTTCTTAGTTATGACATGTAACACAATAATTTAAGATGACAACATTAGAGGAAATTAGAACTGAGAAGAGTATACAAGTGTACACTGCATTTTCTGCAAGACTGATTCAACTTTGATTCCATCAGGAAAACAAAAATATTGTATAGAAATTTCCTCTTCATTCTCTCCCAAATCATTTAAGAGTGTTTCATTTTTCTTTGTGAGAATATAAAAGGTTTTCCTAAACTCTTTGCATTCCTTTTCCTTTTTTTTCTTTTCTTCTTTTTTTTTTTTGAGACGGAGTTTCTCTCTTGTTACCCAGGCTGGAGTGCAATGGCGCGATCTTGGCTCACCGCAACCTCCGCCTCCTGGGTTCAGGCAATTCTCCTGCCTCAGCCTCCTGAGTTGCTGGGATTACAGGCACGCGCCACCATGCCCAGCTAATTTTTTGTATTTTTAGTAGAGACGGGGTTTCACCATTTTTACCAGGATGGTCTTGATCTCTTGACCTCGTGATCCACCCGCCTCGGCCTCCCAAAGTGCTGGGATTACAGGCTTGAGCCACCGTGCCCGGCCTTTTCTTCTTTTTTTTTGAGACAGGGTCTCTCTCTATCACTGGGGCTGGAGTGCAGTGGCACTACACTACCAGGCCTCACTGCAGCCTTGACCTCCTGGGCTCAAGTGATCCTCCCACCTCAGCCTTCCAAGTAGCTGCGACTACAGGCACACACCGACTCCTGGCTAATTTTTGTATTTTTTGTAGAGAGAGCGTCCCACTTTGTTGCCCAGGCTGGTCAAAACTCCTGGAATCCACTCACCTCGGATTCCCAAAGTGCTAGGATTGCAGGCGTGAGCTACCCGCACCCGGCCCTCCTCTTCCATTTTAATTGGTATGTTAAAAACAATAAGCAACATAGCTTCCTTGCCAGAATCTGCCTCTTGACTCTAGCATTGGAATCTATAAAATACAACGTCAAGCAAAGGCACAGGACACATGAGTCCTTAACAATGAGTGTTGAAATCATGGCATCGGGGACCCAGAATTCCTGAATTATTTTCCTATTCTTCTCCCAAGCCATTTTTTTTTTATTTTGAGATAGGGTTGTCACAACTTGGAAGAGGAGAGAGATGCCACTGCCCACCAGATACCAGTGGCACCTCTCTCCTCTTCCAAGATGTGACAACCAAAATTGTCTTTGGACACCGCAGAATGTCCCCTGGGGGCCAAGATCTCCCCTATTGAGATCACTGCTCTAAAGTCAGGTCAAACATCAATCTATACCTGCTTTGTTCCCACATGTCCCCCACAAACTTCCAGCATAATAGCTGCAGCACTATTACCTGTCTGTATCTCTGCATCATACTGTATGCTTCTTGAAGGCTCTTTGACTCATTTCTCCATCTCCCTGTTTATTGACTAAATGCATTTCAAAATTGTTCAGGAAGCCAGGTGTGGTGGCTTGTGCCTGTAGTCCTAGCTACCAGGGAGGCTGAGGCAGGATGACTGCTTGAGCTTGAGCCCAGGAGTTGATGGCTGCAGTGAGCTATGATCATGCCACTGCACTCCAGCCTGACAACATAGCAAGACTCCATCTCCAAAAAAAAAAAAAACCTGCAGATAATCTAACCATTCAATAGTCATTCAGAAATAATTATTGAACGCCTAGTATGTACTCAGCACTATCGTAAACACAGAACACACAAAAAATGTAACCATGATTAACCATAGCTTCTGCATCTGAATGAGCTTGTTGAAATCCAGTTGGGAAAACATACAACATAAACAATGAGAAGATGGACAACCATGAAAGAGTTAAATAACAATCTGCAATAGCAACATAAAAAAGCAGTACATCACTGGTGGGAATGTAAAATGGTATTACCTATAGCCACTTTGGAAGGCCGCTAAGTTTCTGAAAACTTTAAACATAGTATTTACCATATGATATTGCAATTCCACTTCTAGGTATTTACCCAAGAGAAATGAAAATATCAAGATTTCACCAGGTCCGGTGGCTCATGCCTATAATCCCAACACTTTGGGAGGCCAACTTGGGTGGATCACCTGAGGTCAGGAGTTCCAGACCAGGCTGGCCAAGATGGTCAAACCCTGTCTAACTAAAAATACAAAAATTAACCAGGCGTGGTGGTGTGCGCCTGTAATCCCAGCTGTTTGGGAGGCTGAGGCAGGAGAATCACTTGATCCCAAGAGTCAGAGGTTGCAGTGAGCTGAGATCGTGCCACTGCACTCCAGCTTGGGCAACAAAGCAAGACGTCGTCTCAAAAAAAAAAAAAAAAAAAAAAAAATGTTAAAAAAAAAAAAAAAAAAAAAAAAAAGTGGGAATGTTTCTTGGTTGAAAAAACATAGGTCCTTAGTTGGGAGGAAAGTCGTGCTGTTCAAATCTTTTCTGTCTGCTCCCTCTGTTGATTCTGAGAGTTGTATTTGTCTCCCATTGTGATTTGTGGATCATTTTCATCATTTCAGTCTTTGTTTTATACATTTATTTTATTTTCCTTTTTCTTTCTTTTTTTTTTTTTTTTTT